ACTTTGCTATATATCTCAGCAATAAGACGTGACAGGCACTTTATTTCATCAGGGCTGCACACCTTGAATGCATTTTGTGGCATAAGGCCAATGCACAAATGACTTCAATGCTCCCGAAATGCAATAGTCTTTCACAGATGCATTAGAATCCTTTGCACGGGCTTATGGGTACCAAGAAATGAGAATTACTCGAAAACTAAGGAAGGAAGAGAGGTTTCCTAAGATAAATTCCTAGGGGTCAGGTACCTTGATAGCCAATAAGAAGCTGCCATTTTCAAATAATGTTCAAAGACACATCTTAATATAGTCATCTTGGACCAGGGCTCTGGACTCTGAGAGCAACCGGCTCTTCCTGTATCGCCAAAGGGCAAGTCTGTGTCAGCACACAGGCCCTTTCCCTAGCCTTCTGGGTTTGGATGGTTACTATTTTCTTCAAAGATTCTCCTAAGTCTTGTGTGTTTACAAAAAAAAACATAATAAAAATATTTAACACTCTTGGGTCAAATTGGGCTTTAAAAAATTGCCTTTGAGGATGAAGTCTCCAGAGTAGTTGTAACCTGGCCCTTCTCAGTCCTTTTCTCCCAGAGAGAGGCACGTTGCCGGATGATTAGAGAACCTCAGGTGGGAATGTCACTCTGCCTCTGGCTTTATGCCTTAAAACATGACCTAAGGCAAGCGATCATTTCCCAGAAATGAAATATGTCATATGCTCCTATTAAAGTGAACCAGTGAGAGAGCATTCTATTACAATAATGGGTTTTGTTTAAAAAAATGTAAATGTCAAGTCCCCAAAGGAATAATACATATTTGATAGTACTATTGGAACTGGGATACCAGTAATTGCATGAGGTACTTATATTTAGTCTTGTTCCTATAGCAGAGAGGATTGATGTAAACCTTTCAGTAGAATTATTGTGTCAGAGGAAAATGAGAAACATCATCACTCATTACCCAGGCAATCAATATACATTTATTGGGGTGACTGTGGATCAGTCATCGGTCTAAATGCTGTGGATTCAAGAAAAAGAAAGAACATTTCCTGCCTTCAAGGAACTCACATTCCAGTTGAAGAGACAGATAGAGCAAGCAGCTGCAATGCAGTGTGACAACAGCTGTAATGAAGATTCCAATGGGGCCTTGAGAGCCCAATGCAGTGAACTATCCTTTCTGACCGAAGGAGTCTCTCCTTTCCTTCGTGGCTCATTTGAGCTCAGCTGGATCTTCAAATATCAGGATGAAGGGCACAGTAGGCAGATGGAACAGCATGAACAAAGAAGTAGCAGCAGGGAAGAAAAGCAGTGCACTTTTAGGTAATAGTGAGTGGTTTTGTATAGCTGCAGGCTTGTCAAACTGTCTAATGTCAAATACTCTGATGAACTAGTTTGCGTTAGAAACTTGAGTGATTGTTGAGCAGTATAATTTTGCAAAATGAATGTATTTTACATTATAGTTATAGGGCCAAGGCAATGAAAGCAGGAGACGAAATATCGCGTGGAATAAAACTGTCATTCTCACCATGACTCATCTGTTAACTTATGGAAATACACTTACATCAAGAAGTGCAAGAAAATTGCTCACTTCACATGCTTACGGGTGGATTGAACCTAATTTGGTAGCATTAAAACCAATTTCCCACCGAGAAAACATGTCACAGAAGATGGCATGGATTTTTATAATTATTAATAGTTTTTGATATTCCAACATCACCTTTTATCCTGAGATCAATCTCATGCACTGGGAACAGATAAGCTCCGAGGAAACAGAGATAATCTTAGCACAGTAAGTTACACTGCGTGTCTATCTTCCATGTTCCAGTCCTCCCCCTTTAGAACATAGTGGATATAGTTGTAAAGCAGTGATTTTTTTTGTTAGCTCCTCCTATAAGGATTCTTAGGTAGAGTACGGGCCATGTTTTGTTGTTTTTTTTAACATTTTAAAAATATATATATCTTTATTGATTTCAGAGAGGGGGAGAGAGAGAAACATCAATGAGAGAGAATCATTGATCAGGTGCTTCCTCTACGCCCTCTACTGGGGATGGAACCCACAAGCTGGGCATGTGCCCTGCGGGGGAATCCAACCATGAACTCCTGGTTCATAGGTCAAAGCTCCACCACTGGCCAGGATGTTGTTTTTTGTGCACAGCTCTGCTCAGGGGGTAGAAATCTCCTGCGACGATGGACATGTTCTACGGACATACTGGTTGTGCTGTCCAGTATGGCGGCCACTAGATACATGTGGCTATTGAGCACTTGAAACTCAGCGAGTGCTAGTGAGAAGCTACATTTCTCTTTTCTTTTTTTGAATTAAATTTATTGAAATAGCCACCTGGCTGGTGACACTGTTACAATGACACTGTTACTGATGATTTATTTTTTAAAAATTTAAAAAGTTTTCAAAAAAAAAGCTCTGTGTTCATCATCAGTAAGAATGTAATGAGGATTATTGTGTGTGAATGGTTCTGAAATACTTTTGAAACTATAAATATTTTAAAAAGAAGTCTCATATTTTACATTCGGAGAACTTTTATTCTACCCTCTTAAATGTTGATTTAAAAGATGCCTGTGGAATATGATGGTAACACAAAGTCACTTCTAAACAAAGAGCACAAAAGGTGTGGTTGATGTCCTTAAATGAAATTTTATTCCATTAAATCAGGTGTTCAGCAATGACAGACACTCATCCATCCACTGAAAACTGGGATTCCAATTCCTGATTTTCCAAAGGGAGATGTTCACCTCCACTTATAAATGGGGATTTCTCTGGTTTGTGTGTGAAAATGTGGGAACAAGCTTATATAAGGTGAAGAAACTGGTTGCAAGATTTAATGATGTTCCCGCTCAGTCCACCCTGTAACTTAGACTGTTAGCACCGCAGGGGAAAGAGAAGTTAAGTAGCCCCTGGTCTGAACCATCTGTCCAGAAAATGTGGCATATGTCTGCTTTGTTTACTCAAAACCAAGTGTCAACTGATACACTGAACGAAAAATCCACCTATGGTGCAACTGTGGGGGGGGGGGGGCGGGGGGCGGGGGGCGGGTGCTGGATGAGGAAATCAATCTCATTCCTGCCGCAGAGGAACCCGTGCACAAGAGCATAGATAGACCCTGGGGACGCCCGGGGGTTGGGGGGCGCGCACCTAGACGCACACCCCTTCCCAACAACGCACTGCACGCACTGGAGCCGCTGCCGCAGCTGTGGGGCGCGCCTGGCTGACAAGTAGTTGAATGGAGAGCGAAGCGTCCCTCCCCTCGCCTCCTCCTCTTCTCCCCGCCCTTACACCCTGGCCTCAAACTTCAGCCAAAGCCCTTGCCCTTTTCAATTAACCCCCCTCCATCAAAATGAGCGCTTCTTTTCTCTCCTCCGCAGCCCATTGTCTGGTGTGATGGGTTTGCAGATTTGACAGCTGGGCTCTCCCAGACTTCATTCAAACTGGGTTTCCCAGAGATATGAACTTGGACATCACCAAGGATCTCCAACACTAGCCCTGAGCGTCATGACCGCCGTCCACCACTGTAGGCTGTTCCCCAGACCCCCTGTCTAGACCTGATGTAGATTTCGGTGCCCCGGGAGCCCCTGAGCATGCGGGGAGGGGAGCAAGCGTTCAGGGGGGGGGGGGGGGCAGCAGCTAGACAGAGAGCCAGTGGTCCCAGGGATTGGGGTGAAGGATTGGGCTGTTAAATGAATTATTTTAACATTTACTCTTGAAACAGCCAAAATGGAAGTCCGCTTATAAATTTCCCAAAGCCAGGTCCGAGGTGGTTTAAAAGGCACTGGGTTCCGCTTTGTCTCCTCGTTCAAGCTCCTGGACAGAGGGAGAGAGGCTGTGTGTGCCTGCGTGAGTGTGAGTGTGAGTGTGTGCGCGTTGGCCTGCATGAGTGGGTGGGTGCACGCAGCCATCCCGGCTCGGAGGGCCTGGGTCTGAGTGTGTCCTTAACGCGCCAAGTCTTGAGTCACAGCCGCGAGTGACGTGGGGGAAAACTTTGTTTGGGGAAGAAAGGTCTGGTTTCATTGCAGTGGGGCGTAAGAGTCCTCGGGCACAATGCCCTTTGTGTGTGTGCGTGTGTGCGTGTGTGCGTGTATGTGTGTGTGTGTGTGTGTGAGAGAGAGAGAGAGAGAGAGAGAGAGAGAGAGAGAGAGAGAGAGAGAGAGAGAGAGCTCGCAGCCGGCTGGCTGCATAGCGCTGTGTGCTCTGAGCGCGTGCTGGGTCGGTCCCCGGGTCCCACCGCAAGCGAGTGTGTCCTTCTGCGGCGTCCCTGCGGGCGAGTATCTGAGGGGGTGACGGTCGGAGGGAGCAGGAGCAGGCCGGGGGGCCCCTGGCAAAGAAATCTGGTTTCCGAAGCTGCTATCCTCCGAGCAGCTCCCAGGAACCGCTGAGATCCCTAGCCAGCATCCGAGCCCTAGGGGGCTCTGCTCGGAAACCGTTCTGGCCCCACTAGATCCTCTGAGATCCCGGAGATGACCGCATCTTTCTTCCTAACGCAGACCAGTGAGCCCGGAAAGGGGCGGAGGGGGCGGGGACACCCCCTGAAATAAATAAACTGGTTCCTTGCTGCAGCTGGACACGGTCCGTTGAGTCCAGGTTGGTGGCATTTGGAGAGTTTTCTCATTCTGTCAATTTGGGGACCTATCGCTGCCCCCCACCCCTCTCCCCCTCTGGCAGGCGGCCCTCAACTTTGGGGCGCAAGGGGCTGCACCTGCCCTGGCGCTCCGGGGCTGCGGGCGCTCCGCTCGCCCAGGCTGGCGGCACCGATTCGACCGAGTCCAGGGCGCTGGGCTGATGTGTGCGCGGCGCGGGCGCCGGGGAGGGAGCCCAGGACGCGCGCCGGGTGGGGCGCACCAGCCGGATTTCAGCTCCAGCCCGGACGTCGGTCCCCCCTCGCCCGGCTGCCTGTGAAAGAAAGCGAGCCGGGGAGGAGGGGAGACGGCGATGGGGGGCGGCGATTGGTGGCCAGGGCGGGGAGGGCTGGCGGCGGAGCCAGAGAGCTGGCGCGAGGAGGGGTGGCGAACTTCCCAGGAGAAGGGGCTCTGCGCGCCAGGGCTGGCGAGAGAGCCGCCGCCGCCGTGAGCTGCGACTCCAGGCCGGCTCCGCGCTGGGAAAGTAACGTTCTTTCTTTATTGGCTTGCGTTCAGCCATAGACATCCCCTTGGACTTTGGGAGCCGCGTCCGACCGCTCCAGCCCCTCCTCTGTGGGTGCGGGAGGCTCCCCGGAATACACGCACACGCACCCCCGCGCCCCCTCCTGGCGCCCAGACACGGGTGGGTGGGGGCGGGGGGGCTCAGCCGGGCTCCGGAAAGTCCTCCCAGGCGGGAGCGGAGGAGGGCAGCGGGGCAGGCGGAGGCTCCGGAGGGAGCTCTGGGCTCATTTCAAAGCGCGCTCTCCCTTCCAGGTGGGGTCGGACCTGAGCCCCCGGGAGCGGAGCCGCCTCCCGCCCTCGCCAGCCGCCAGGCGCCCGCGCGGAGCTGAGTCGCCCGCGGCCGCGGCGGCAGCCGGACGGACGGGAGTTCGCTCGCGCCCTGGATGGCGCTGAACTTGGGGCGGCCAGGGCAGCGCGGCCGTCCGGGGACCGCTGGCTGCTGAGCTCCCTCGCGACACCAGCGGCGGGTCGGCATTCTTGGGGAAGGGGGACCAGCCGCGCGCCGGCACCATGTTCCTGGCGACTCTGTACTTCGCGCTGCCGCTTCTGGGTAAGTCGAGGCCGCCGCCAGCATCCCGACCCTCTCGGAGTCTCTCCCGGGAGTCCTCGCGGCGCGGGGTGCGGTGGGGTGGCGCGCGCGGGGGCGGGGGGGGGGCAAGTTCCGTTTTGGGGAAGGGGACCCCGAATCTTCAGCACCTCAGGCTGGGGAGGCGGTGTCGACGCGCACTGGCCCGCAGCTTCTCGGGCTCGGTTCTGCTTTTCGGTGGCTTTCAATGGCCTGGCCTGGGGGGACTAAAGGGGTGCCCTCCAGGCCGGGACCCGGCACCCCGTGACGGTCCCGGGGAGCGCGCAGGGGTGCGGCGGGCAGGTGGGGTGGAGGCGTGCCTTGGGCCGGGAGACAAACTTGGAAGGGAAAACTTTTCCCCGAGTAGCAAGCACCCCCGTGCTCCCCACCAGGCGGGCCGCGGACCCGGGGTGCCTGCGCCCCTCGCCCCGCCCGCCGCTCTCCTCCGCGGGCTCCAGGCGAGTGGGACCGGGCGAGCGGTGGAGCCTGGGCTCGGCTCCGGCAGGTCTGCCCCGGGGCTGCGGGGCCGGCTCGCGCGCTGGGCGGCAAAGGCTCTCGGGCGCACCCCGAAAAGCCTGCAAAGCCTCCGGGGCTTGGGAGGGAGGGGGTGAGGGGAGACCAAGGCAACAGGAGGTCCCAGGGCGGGAAAATGGACTCCCGGGTGTAGTGGGGGGCGGGTTGGCTCCCTACGCAGGGCGCCCGGGAAGCCTCGTCCAGCAGGCGTCCTCCTGGGGGCCGCGCCCTCCCCGGGGCCGGGGCTGGGAGCTGGGTCCCTGCCTGGCCGCGCTCACGCTCCCTCCCTGCACCCCAGACGTGCTGCTGTCGGCGGAGGTGAGCGGCGGGGACCGCCTGGACTGCGTGAAAGCCAGCGACCAGTGCCTGAAGGAGCAGAGCTGCAGCACCAAGTACCGCACGCTGAGGCAGTGCGTGGCGGGCAAGGAGACCAACTTCAGCCTGACGTCCGGCCTGGAGGCCAAGGACGAGTGCCGCAGCGCCATGGAGGCCCTCAAGCAGAAGTCGCTCTACAGCTGCCGCTGCAAGCGCGGCATGAAGAAGGAGAAGAACTGCCTGCGCATCTACTGGAGCATGTACCAGAGCCTGCAGGGTACGCGCCTCCGGCCTGGCCTCCCCCCACCGCCCAGGCCCGAGGGCCCCTCGCCGCTCCCGTCCTGTCCCCCCACCGCCCAGGCCCGCGGGCCCCTCGCCGCTCCCGTCCTGTCCCCCCACCGCCCAGGCCCGCGGGCCCCTCACCAGGTCGGGCTGACCTCATCCTCCACTCTCTTCTCCCAGATGCAGAGTGAGGACTGTTCATTGGCCCCCAGGGACTGCAGCAGCTGGTGTTTGCTGCCTGCCCAGCTGTATTATTGGGGCCTGGTTGTTGGAAAACCCATTATGGGTGAGGGGGACACCCCGGGACCCCGCTGACCTCTTTGAAATCTGGTCAGAGCTTTGAGTAGGAGGGACCCCATTAAAGGCCACCCAAGGGACGGCCACTTCTCTGTAAGGAGAGTTGGCTTCACAGAATAATTATTCAGACTTGCCCTGCGTCCTCCCTGGAGTTTCCCCCTTTATTCTGTCCTTCTGTCTATTCTGACATAAGAGAAAGAATTAAGTGTTAAAGGTCCAGTAACATCTATTCTATCTTTACCCGCCCTCTCCCCCCTTCAAACTGATCAAAGGCTTTGATGTGGGAAAAAACATTTGTCATCTTAGATTAGCTGAGTCTTGAACCAGCTGGCGTGGTTCAACCTCGGTTAACATGGATGTGGCTCAGAGAGGGAAAGGCCCACAGACATCCACTTTGATCGATGTGGCTGTGTTTGTAAGTCTAACACAGACATCCAGTGCGTTCATTCTCTACCGAGACTTCACATCCGAAATTTGTAATAAACGGAATTGACCTATCAGCTACCACTTCCCTCCAGAACCTACTGATGAAAACCTGTTTCAAAGACCGACTGTTTAATAGCTAGGGTACCCGCTTTCTGACCACACGCCATGTTTCTGGAGCAAAGGAATGAATGGGGGGCCTCCTTTGAGTCACCTTCCTTCCATTGGCTCCTGGAGGCGAGCGCGACACGTGATATCACTGGCTTCTTCCTCTCTGATTTCATTCCTTTGCAGAAGTGGGAGAGAGTTCTGGCAAAATCAGGCTGGGTTGCTCTTCAGTGTTTTCATGGCACTCTGGGGAGAGCAAGGACAACAAAGGCAGAGGGAATGAAAAAAAAACCAAAAAACCAACCAGAGCCAAATAGAGGCATGTGAAGTCTTTGAAAGTTTCAGCATCTTTTTGTTACACAATCATAACATAATTAGAATTCAGATTCAGTAACAAAAACTGCCTGGTATATGTCTGTGTTCCAGATCTGAGCCCAATCTTCCTATTGTTTTTAGGAAATGATCTGCTCGAAGATTCCCCCTATGAACCAGTCAACAGCAGATTGTCTGATATATTCCGGGTGGTCCCCTTCATACCTGGTAAGCGGATTTATACTTCTACTCTGGGGCCCTGGCCTGCGTGAAATGCATTGGCTTGCATTCTCTTTGGCTCTCAAACGGCGTATGAGGAGGTAGTTGAATGGCGCAGTGTTTCTGGGAAATTAGAAATAGGATGATGATAATGAAGAGGCAGAATGACTAGACATGATTGTATGGCTTGAAAGTCATTCTAAATGAAGTAATGTGGTGTGGTGGTTTGGAAGAGGTTGGAGGGAGGTGACTTGGTTGAATTCCCCCCCCCCCCCCCACACACACTAAAATACAATTGGCCGACTCTTGCAAAGGGAATGCGGGTTCTGTCTGTAGGTGGCAATAGTATTCTCTTCTTTATGGTTCAGACACAGTGCTTCCCTGAAATGGGATCTGTTTAAATGATGCCACTTACTTTATGAGATGCCTGAAGATCATCTGAGATTGTTGAAGAATTTTGGATTCATTCATTTGTCTGCCTTTGCTTTAAAAGATTAAGCTCTGCATTTGTTAACAGTTCTTTTGTCTCTAATTGTTCCTGAGCCAGTGTGTGTGCATATGTAAGACACTGTATTACTGCCCCGGTGGCCCTTTACAGAGTAGCCTTGCTTCCCAGGGCTTGTTTTGTCTGTCCTTGCAGTTCTATGTTTGGCTTGGAAATCAACCTAGAGTTAGAATTAAGTTGTCATAACATCTGCATTCAGACAACCGCATAAATAATGAGCGAGGCAGTCATCTCTCTTCATGATGCACAGACTTCTGTCTGATGTTGTCTTTATTTGTTTACAGTGAAGGCATTTTCTCAAGTATATATAGAGCCATCACAAATGACATGTTTTCGGTGGTAATGCATGGTGGTTAATGTTGAATTTGATTCTATGAGATGATGGTTTGTTACTGGTGAGAGTGTTCTGGTGTTCTATGCTTTATGTTTCCCTACAGAAAGCCATAGAACCACGGGAGTGTGTAAATATTGAGCGTGTGTGTGGGTGTACTGGAGATACATTTACTCATTCACAAACATCCACTGAGCACCCACTATGTCCTAGCCATTGGGGTTTTGGCAGGGAGCCAGACAGATGTTGTCCCTGCCTTCATGAATCTTAGAGGCAGCCAGCAACTGATATTTATCAAGCCCCTATACTATGCCAGGCACTGTTAGAATCTTCACATCAGTAACTTATGTCATCATCATCAAGTGTTTCTTAGGTATTCTTGTTTCCATTTCAGAGATGCGGTGGTTGAGGCAGAATGAAGTTAGGAAACTCAGTCCAAGAATCACAAAGCTCCTAAGTGGAGGAACCAGAATTTAAACCCCGGTTTGTTTGGTTCCAACATTGTGTAATGTCTGCCCCTAGCTACTCAGTGTGTGGGCCTCAGAACAGCCCCAGGGTCACCTGGGAGGTGGTGAGGAGTGTGGAATCTCAGGCTCTGTCCCAGGTCTACTGAATCAGAATTTGCATTTCAAGAAGATCTCTGGGCTCAGTGCTTCATGTGCTCATGAATCTTTCGAAGCACTCCTCTACATTATTCTGTCTGTCTTTGGTTCAGAGGAAAAGTGTGTGTGTGTGTGTGTGTGTGTGTGTGTGTGTGTGTGTGTTTTGGGATAAGATATATGGGTACAAGTTTAGTATCAGGCATTCATACATTATCCTGGAGAATGCCGAAAATTTTCACTCTAAATCCCTACTAATGCTGTCTGTCCCCTTGTCCCAGCTGGGACAGGTGTTTGTGACCATCTGGGCTCTTACGGGATCAGGTCTGTAGGAACTAGGATGGGGTGTGGTAGATGGGACACCAGAAGTGAACTTGGCCTTCCTAGTGCTTTTTTTTGTTTTGTGTTGTTAATCCTCTCCTAAGGGTAGTTTTTCCATTGATTTTTTTTTTTTTTTTTTTTTTTTTTTTTTTTTTTTTTTTTTTTTTTAGAGAGAGAGTAGAAGGGAAGGAAGGGCGGAGGGAGGGAGAGAGGAAGGAAGGAATTGGGGAGAGAGTGAGAGAGAGAAACATGGATGTGAGAGAGACATTGCCTCCTGCAGGTGCCCTGACCTGGGGCTCGGGTTTGAACCTGTACCTCAGGTATGTGCCCTTGACTGGGAATTGAACCTGTGACTCTTCAGTGCATAGACTGACACTGTAACCACTGAGCAACACAAACCAGAGCCTTCCTAGCGCTTTTGAAGGGCAGTGCCTTTTGCCGCTGTCTACCCCATGGATATGTTACCTCTCAGTCTGTGTACTGATGCCTGTAAGGATATGGACCTTCCCATGGACAGTGAGAGGAAAGAAGTGGGTGAAGAGGAAGGGCCATTGGGTTATAATTTCAAAACTGCTATGGGACTTCAACAGTCTCATTTTCCCTCACTGCATCTCTCTTCTCTTGGTATAATGAAGCCATAGGAGTGAATAATCTCCAGTCCTTAATAGTCCATGATTCTGAGGGAAGATCAAGGCCACTTGTAGAATGTCTCCACTGTGCTCTTGCATTGTCTTTTCAGTCCTTGTCTTCATAACTCACTCCAAGTGGCTGGGTCATTCTCAGATACCACTGGTTTATCTGCATTTCTTTGATGAGTACAGGAGATTCTTCTCCCCCAACCAAGTTTTACTCATTCATTTTTGGATCTCTCCCTCCACCAAGTGTCTTTTCATAGCAAGTGTGATCCTGAATGTGAGGACCCAGAAGTCATGATGAATTAATCAGAGCCCGGAAGGCTTTGTCTAGAACTACATTTTATATCTCAAGGGCATTGAATTTAGGTTCCAGCATTAATGAGCTTTGACTTCTGACAGTGACTCTGGGCCTTAAGTGGGTATAGGAAAGCCAAATGGAGCTGAGAGGGTTTAAGTCATTGAATAATGCGTATTACTCAGCTTGGCGTTGGTAGGATGGAGAAGGACGGAGGAGCAGGATGATAAATGTTGCTTTTCATGGCTTGGATCTGAGTTTCTAGAACATCTCTTCTGTCTTGAAAATCTTTTGGAAGAAACCAGGACAACAGGGCCTCTGCTGGCAGATAGGGCAGCCGTCAGAGTTTCCATATTTGGTTTTCCCTGCCCAATGTGAAGAGAATGTTTATCCACATACATTAAGCGTGAGCTGAACCTCTCACCGAACAAGACATGTTTGACGTTCTTGAGTATCCATTTTCTTTCGACTCCTCAAAACCCACAGTCGACTTCGCCGTTGTTTACTTGATCACCAGTTAAAAGGCCATGTGGAGGTCAAACTGTCATCTGTGCCGAAGCCTGAGCTGCAGAAGGGAAATGAGGCAGCCTAGTCAGGGAGAACTGTGGTGGGAGATTGGGGGGACCACTCTTGTGGAAATGAGATAGCAGAAGTGTTTGGCCTCTCAGGCACTTTAAAAAAAAATATCTTTATTGTTGAGATTATTACTGATGTACCCCCCCCCCCCGTCTCCCCCTCCACCCAGTTCCCACCCCACCCCAGGCCTTCGCCACCCTATTGTCTGTGTTCATACGTAATGCATATAAGATCTTAGTTTAATTCTTCCCACACCCCCAGCACCCTTCCCTCTGAGAATCGTCAGTCTCTTCCATTTCCATGCCTCTGATTCTATTTTATTCACCAGTTTATTTTGTTCATTATATTTCTTGCTCATTTATTTTGATTTTTAGATTTAATTGTTGATAGATTTGTATTTGTTGCCATTTTCTTGTTCATATTTTTGATCTTTTTCTTCTTCCTCTTAAAGAATACGCTTCAGCATTTCATATAATCCTGGTTTGGTGGTGAGGAACTCCTTTGGGTTTTTCTTGTCTGTGAAGCTCTTTATCTGACCTTCAATTCTAAGTAATAACTTCGTTGAGTAGAATAATCTTGGTTGCAGGTCCTTGCTGTTCATCACTTTGAATATTTCTTGACACTCCCTTCTGGCCTGCATGGTTTCTGTTGAGAAATCAGCTGACAGTCGTATGGGTATAGCCTTGTAGATAACTGACTGCTTTTGTCTTGCTGCTTTTAAGGTTCTCTCTTTGTTTTTAGCCCTTGGAATTTTAAATATGATGTGTCTTGGTGTGGTCCTCTTGGGTTCCTCTTGTTTGGGAATCTCTGTGCTTCCTGGACTTGTAAGTCTATTTCTTTCAACAGGTAGGAAAGGTTTTCTGTCATTATTTCTTCAAATGTGTTTTCAATATCTTGCACTCTTTCTTCTTCTGGCACCCCAGAAGGCGAATTTTGGTGCACCTGAAGTTGTCCCAGAGGCTCCTTACACTGTCTTCATGTTTTTTTATTTTTTATTTTTTCTCTTCTGGTTTGGTGTTTTTTGCTTCCTCATATTGCAAATTGTTGATTTGATTCTCAGAATCCTCTACTCTACTGTTGAATTCCTGTATATTATTCTTTATTTCAGTCAGTGTATGCTTAATTTCTGACTGGTCCTTTTCCATTTTTTTTTTTTTTGGAGGTTTCTAGAAGATTTTTGAGTGACCTTATAACCGTGGTTTTGAACTCTATATCCAGTAGTTTTCTTTCTTCTGTTTCTCTCATTTGTGACATGTTTCTTTGTCTCTGCCTTTTGGCTGCTTCCCTGTGTTTGTTTCTATGTATTGGGTAGAGCTGCTATGTCTCCCAGAGTTGGTAGAGTGGCCTGTGTAGTAGGTGTCCTGGAGGGCCCAGTGGTTCAGCCTCCCCAGTCACCCGAGCTGGGAGCTCTAGGTGCACCCCTTTGTGGGCTGTGAGCACAGTTTTGTTGTAGTTGAGACTTGATTGCTGTTGGTGTCACTGGGAGGAATTGACCTCCAGGCCAACTGCCTGTGAGAACCAGCTGTGACTACAGTAGGAGAGCTGCTGTGTAGGAGACACCCCTATGGAGCAGGACTTGCTTCAGTGGGGCTTTGGTGCTCACTGAGTCTGCCCCTTGAGTGTGTCGCTTATTGATGTGTAGAGCTGTAATCTGGTATGATTTGACACTGACCACTGGGTACACTGGCCCTTGGGTCTCCAGGGAGATGCAAAGTCAGCCACTGTCTGGGGCCAATCTGCAGGAACT